TGTTGAATGAGCAGCGGCACAAAGTACCACTGAGGTGCTGGATAGTGGACCTACAGGGACGCCATAATTCTACTGGGGGATTTCATCGCCCATTTGGGAAAAAACTGTGATACCAGGAGTTGCATGGTAAGGCCGAATGGGCCCCCAACTATGGCTATGTTCCTACTGCAGGCCTTAATGCTCCTTATGCAGGCGTATGTTTGTTTTTTACCAGCGCAAGAGAAACATGGAGGAAATGTTTGTCTTTTTGTTTGCTTGTCTGAGGAAAAAACAAATAGACAAAAAAAAAGGAGTTTACCTGGAACATTTTTTCTTTTGCCTTCATGAAATAAGTCCATGGTGCATCTGTGGCCTTTGTGGATTTTCACTTTTTTGAGCCATCAAAGTCGGGCCACAAAACGACCGCCAACGTCTTCTGAAAAACTGTAAATCATATCTCAGTTTTATGTTTACATCTAATCACCATTTTTAAATTTTATCACTGCTGCACTTTAAGAAATAGAAATGTCTTGAGAGCTGTACTGAACAAAATTTTGTTTTGTCTACACCCAGTGTAAACAAAATGACAATAAGGTTTGTCTAAGTCTAAGTAAATCTAAGGTTGGAATTAGCAAACTTTCATGTTTAAGCTGGGATACGTAACTGCAAGTCAACAACAGACAGAAAAATCCCTCTAAACCATCCCTTCATAGAATAATACTGTAGAACCCAGAGGGCTGGTACTCCAGCTGAGAGCCATTTGTCTCTAATGTTAGTGTTTGGTGGTGTTCGTTAGAGACTGACACGGGAGTGGATTTTCACTCCTGTCCCGTCCCACTCCCACAGAAAAAAATTGTGTCCCGTCCCGATCCCGGGCCAGAGTAGAAATCTAAGGCCCCGTCCCACTCCTGGTGAAATTACTCCCATTCCGCTCCCATTCAGAATGACTCCCACTCCTACGACGGAGTATTAGGGCCACACATGAAGAGAAAAAATATTTTTGCCATGACGAGTTTAATCTCGCCCTGTCGACTTTAAATTCGCCATTTCGAGAATAAAGTTGATATATCGTGGTTACTTTAATCTCGACATTCCAAAGTTTGGAGAAAAGAGCAACCGCGCTCCACAGCTGCAGTCTGCGTTTTAAGAGTGAAGGTAGTCTTTGACGTGCTGCAACTGTATAGGATTCTGTGCATGTATCCTGTGCAGCGGTTGGCTCTCTTGAACTAATTTAAACTTTATTGTCGACACGTCGAGATTAAACTCAACATGACATTTCAACTTTATTCTCGAAATGTTGAGTTTAATGTCGACTTTAAAGTCGACATGTCGAGTTTAATCTCGTCATGGCAAAAATATTTTTTCTCTTCATGTGTGGCCCTAATACTCCGTCGTACACTCCTGCACCACTCCCATTCTTGTTTTTGTTTTTTTTGAGCGCGGGTGAAAAACTCAGAACTCAGAGCGGAAGAACTGTTGGATTTTGGGTCGTGTAGTGTTTTTTTGACTCGCATTATAGTGTAGGCTTCAAGGAAAAAAAACTACAAAATGGCGCCACCAGTACTGGATTTTTTTTTTCTTTCTATTTTATTTTATTTTTTGGCATCGATCCTAGTTTTTTTTTTTAGTTATTATTGGTTTGCTCCCGCTCCCGTCTGCTCCCGTTAATGTTTAATCCTGTACCGTCCCAATCACGTGATCGTTACTGACTCCCATCCCACGGGAATCCCACGGGAATCCCGTGACCCGTGGGATTCCCGAAAAAATGTCAGTCTCTAGTGTTCATGTCACTTGGTGCATGTTGTTGCTCTACTGTAGCAATGATTCTCTGCATTCTTTCCCAAATGCTCTACTTCTCCTGAAGCACCAGCAGGAGTGATGTCATCACCATCACTACCTTTGTATAGCAAACATGTGCTAACAGTGTTCTTCTTCTTTTTTTAATGGTACCATGGGTGGGGGGTCTGAATAAACCTGTTACTGTTCTGCATTTGGCCGTGTCCTCCTCCTCATCCAGCACCTTCCTTTTTTGTCTCTCCCCCCTCTGCGCCGCCTTTCTTCTTCCTTTCACCTCATTCGTAGACTGAGTCCATTGCTTCTTATCCTCATTTGTACCGCTCACTAGCTACACACATCACAGCAGCAGCAGCTGGCCCCAGACACATGTCACACTCACCGGGCCTGGGATTGGCCGGATCGCTGCAGGCCAATCCCAGGCCGTTGCTTCTGGAATACTCCTGATTCTGGCCTGTCAAGATATGTTTGTTCCTGTTTTTGGCTAAAACCAAACTTTGTAGGCAAGCACTTGGTGTCACTTTGAACAATCAGCTCCAGGTTTAAACAATCAATTCAGGTTCTGCTGGATGCCCCGCCCCTCCCTGAATGGATGTGAACAGTCCCAGATTTTTAATGTGTAGAAATGGTGTTTTTAAAATATGTGATATTCTTCTGTGTTATTAAGATATTGTTCCATCAGAGGGTAAACAAGAGCTCTTTAGTTAAATAAGCCAGAGAACAAGCCAATGTCAAAGCATTTGTGAATAGATTGTGCTGAATTTACCTTTTGTATCTATGCTTCTTTTTCTATGTCTGCTTCTGTCTCCTTGAACCCCAGTCAGCCTCAGCAGATGGCCGCTCACACTGAGCCTGGTTCTGCTGGAGGTTTATTCCTGTTCAAAGGGAGTTTTTTTCTCTCCACTGTCACTACAAGCATGCTTAGTGTGAGGGATTGCTGAAGAGTCAATGAGTCAATGCAATCAACTGGTTTTCCTTAGATAGAAAACTGAATCAATGTGACTGGATGATCTGGTGAACTGTAAGGAGCTTTGAGACGACATGATGTGAATTGGCGCAATAGAAATAAACTGAATTGAAAAAAGTGAATATTGCATAGATAGCTTGGAGGGAAGGTTTCATCTTTACAAGAATAAAAAAGATTTTTTTGGTAGAAGGTTAGACATCTCCTGTTTGCACTGTTTATTACAGAAGGACAACATCACACTCTGGCAGCCATCATGATGCTAGAAGTCCTCCAATCAGACGAACACCTGCTGAGTGGTGAATATGGTGATTCCTGTCCAATCAGAGGCAAAGTATGGAGGGGGTGACTGGGTTCAACTTATTATGTTCAATTTATTTTCAGCAGGTTTCCAGTAAGTTCCGACTGTTCTGCAAAAGCAAAACAGATCAAAGCAAATAGTGAGTGCAGGTTGGAGCTGAAGTGAAGCAAATATCAGAGTCTATTAGGAGAAGGTCAGAAATACAGACCCACTGAACCACAGCACTGGGATCACCTCATTCAGGCCTCTGCAGTGTTGGTCCCCTACAACAGAGGAGTGGTCCCTGCCCACGGGTTAAACCATCATCAGCCATCATGTCCTGTTGGCAGCTTGGATATCTTAGCCTGTGCTGTTTGTCAGAGAGCACAGGTACTGTAAGATCCCACTACGCTAATCATGTTTTGGGTGTACTATTCCTTTAAGGTCTTACTCACAGACCCAAAGTGGCAGTCTGGGTGTAACTAGTGTTACACCGAAACCGATAGCAGTATCGGACGGGGACCCGATCCAGCACTAAAATGGTGGTATTGGTACCGGCAAGTTTTTTTCCTGCTTCACAAAGGTAGGCAGCAGCTTGATGCCATGATGGCAATTATTTTATATCCAAGTAGTATGCAGTTCTTCATAGATAAACACACACATCAATTTCAAACAGATGGTATCAGCCGATACTGAACAGTCAGGTATTGGGTATTGGGGCCAAAAAATGGCGTTGGCGCAACACTAAACACAACCTCAGGATTCGAAGCACTATGCCCTGACCTCTAGGCCGCCAGTCCACAAACATGGCCTGGGTCTCCTGCAAACAGGAAGCCTGGGTTCGTATCCCAGCTGGAGGGGAATGAGCTGCCAGTGTGTCTTTAGGCAAGATCATTCACGCTAACGGCATGTTGAAATAGGGCTTGGAATCCTGAGGTTGTGAGTTCGAACCCCACTCCCACAAACTGCCACTCTGGCTCTCTGAGCTCTGTACTTGTGACAGTGGAATGACAATAAAAATGGTAAAAACCCGCTGAACGGGTCGACCAAGGTTCAAGTCATCCAAACGTACTCTGCCAGCGGTGAACTGGTGGCCCCATTAGTTGCTCTGCTGAAGGACGGCATGGGGATAACCAGTTTCCGCCTCTAAGTGCAGCGTCACACCAGGTACTCCTGCTTTCAGTCCACAGACAGACAAGTTGCGCCTCTGCTGGTTGACGTGTCTCCGACGCTGCAGCAGAGCAACTGGTCCATTAACCTCCTGAGACAGACTCCAGCCATCATGACCCAGGAAGGAAAGGTGTGTATAGATACCGGATGGAGGACCTGGTTCTGCTGGAGGCTCCAGACGCTTTTTTCTCCACTGTGACCAGTTGCTCTCAGTTCCACAAAATCAGAGTGAATGTTTTCACTTTTTATCAGCATGTTTCAAGGTGCTGTAAAGTGAGAATATGATTTATCTACATAGATAAACCGGCCAGGCCGGGTTCTTGGCGTAGAACCTGAGACCATACAGCCAGACGATATGGCAGCAACCATGATGGGCTGGAAGCACGTTGGAGACAAACGGGACTAAATCAGAACTATTTATAACAAATTTCATTAAGCATTTTTTTTTCTCCTTCCAGATTTATAAAAAAAACAACAAACAAACACAACAGAAAATCATGTAAAACATCCCATTTAGGATGGATTTATCACTGAGCCCTAAACCACAGTGAGTGGGGGAGGGGTGGCCCAGTGGTTAGGGCATTGTGCTTGGGTTCCAGAGGTTCTGAGTTAAAACCCCAACCCCACACTGCTCCCCGGGCGCCGCACAATGCCAGACCCCTGCTCCCCAAGGGGTCTGGTTAAATGCAGAGAGTTCATTTTGTTGCTCTGTACCTGTGACAGTGGAATGACAATAAAACTCTGGAGAAAAAACAAACAACCATTTACCTACGGTCTATGATGGAGACGTAGAGAAGAAAAACTCAGTGAGGCTCGTTTTAACATCTATTTATTACCACCGTAATATGAGAAATTTGGAAAATACAAAGATCAGCTTATTTATACGTCAGAAAATCTCAAGGAATAAGAAAAATATAAAACAAAACAATTATGAGGTTATTTTCTGCATCAGAATTTTGAGGAAAGGGACAGTTTGTTTGTTCAGAGACATCAGGAGAGACGAAAACCCAAAACATGCTGAGAAAAAAAAAAAATTCACTAAGTCCATCTGAAAGCTGATGGATGGAGAAACCACCTGCAGCAGCATCAGCATCACCCTGACCCACTGAACGGGGAGGGTGGTGGAGATCTGGCGCCCCCGTGTGGTCAAAATAGGAGTAAAGGTTTTATGGGGAAAAACTCAGAAGCTGCTTTAGAAATCCTGCAGTTTTTGACATGAAGCCCTGCAGATCTGAACTGATTTTTCTCTTTTAAATATTTAGAAAGTGGTAAAATGAGACAAACTCTGTAAAACTGAGAATTTTAGGAGTAAAAGACTAAAAAAAAATTCATGATTACATCGTTTTAAGCAAACCCAGAGATGGTTGATAGTGGAGTACAGTTGGTTTGGAGGATCACAGAAACAGAGCAGCAGTCCACCCGCTCCCAGGGGTTTAGGGGGGGTGGGGGGGTCAGAGGCCTCGGGACTAGTTTTAATAGCACCCTGCTGTGGAAGTTGCAGCTCCCCTTAAGCAGACTAGCCCCTCAGCCCAGCCCCCCTGGATTCAACTCTGTTTGCTGCAGACTGAGACCAAACAGGTGAGTTCAGTGAGGGGGGGGGGGGCTCCACGTTAGGAAGCACAGTTAAATCCAGTGACACACATCAGATATGCGCACATGTGTATCGGATCCACAAAACATGCACAGAAAAGGTAGCCTACAAAGACGAAAAAAACCTCTAGGAGAGACCGACTCAACATGGTTCTATCTGCTCATTATCAGCCTAATGTCTACTGGGGGGTGGGGGGGCAAAAACAGGACAATAAGCATCAGGAGGCGTCTAAGCTCGCTCTCCGCGGATGCGGCGTGCCAGCTGGATGTCTTTGGGCATGATGGTGACGCGCTTGGCGTGGATGGCGCACAGGTTGGTGTCCTCGAACAGCCCCACCAGGTAGGCCTCGCTGGCCTCCTGCAGAACAAAGGAGTGGGTTTGGGTCAGGGGTCTGAGTCAGAGCTGAGGGTCTGCGATGATCTAAAGGTTTATTCACCTGCAGCGCTCCGATGGCGGCGCTCTGGAAACGCAGGTCGGTCTTGAAGTCCTGAGCGATCTCCCTCACCAGGCGCTGGAAGGGCAGCTTACGGATCAGCAGCTCAGTGGATTTCTGGTACCGACGGATTTCCCTGAGAGCCACGGTACCGGGCCTGAAACACACAGCAAGACTCGTTAGGAAGAGACAAGCCGACGGAGCGACGGCTGCAGACGTTTTATTACACCAACCTCCCTTAGAAACATCTGTTTCTATCTGATCATCATAGCGCGGCGTTTAACTCTCAGATCGTTAACTAAAGCTTAGGGCAGAGCTGAACACGCGCTAACCAGTTCTGCAGAAAGTTCCTAACCTGCTGAAATAAGAGTTCAGCTGGTGACTGGAACCAGACCACTTTCTGCTCCTCAAAGAAATCGGATCTTTTTCTGGTCTCACCAAAAACCAAACAGCTCGATTTAAGAAAATTACATCTAAATAAGTCAATTTTTTATTAAAATAGGTGCATTTTTTCTTGAATTGAGCAGAATAGTGAGACACTTTGCCAAAGGAACAAGATCATTTACATTTGACATAAGAAAAAAAGCCCTGCAGTGTCATACTACAGCATCATATCTAAATATCTTATTTGAATGTGAAAGCTAATCATTGGCAGATCATCTTATTTAAGCCCCCAAATTAAGGGTAAATACTCTCATTTTAAGAATGTTTGACTCATTTTAAGGTTGTTTTTGCAGTGGAAGCTGTTACTGAGGAGACCATAAACTGCCTGAAAGCAAACTGGTTTCTACTGGAGAGCATCAAACTGGGAGCAAAGCGACCCAGTGGACTCAAGTAGAACCAGGAAGAGGAATAACAGCTGTTCTAAGGAACTTTCTGGAGTCGGAAACGTAAAAACATCTGAGACGAGGTTTAGAGCTTTGCTTTCTTAACAATCAGGGTTGAGTTTCACAAGAGGAAGAATGTTTTCTTTTTTCAATTTCTTCTGGAAGTTACTGGAAGAAACCGTTTCTTCCGGCTAGTGTAGGTACCAGATCTGCTTGGTGCCCCGCCCTTTCTTATGGCGTCATCATATGGCAACTCCACTCAGAAAAACTGTATTAAACCCGTTTTTTCAGGATCAAATCTCTTTTTGAGTCTCAACATATTATTACCTCTATTTACTAGTATTTTACATTTCATTGGCGATCTAAAGTAGCTGAAAGTAGAAAACAATCATTGTCAGTCTGGAAGGAAAGTCCTGCCTTCTAGGACTGACTGAGGGGACAAAAAAAGTCTCAGCTTAGTTTTATTGTTTTTATAAAGATCTGAGGGCAGAGGAGGACAAATGGAACATCTTAAAAATGACTTTCATAGAGCTTTTAGACAAATAAACAGTTATTCTACGTGTAGAAAATGAACACAAATTTAAATGTAGTGTAGCTTAATATGGCTAACTGAGTGAGCTAAAAGAGGCTAACCTGCTAGCTTGTGAGCACAGCTAGCCACAGCGCTACCCAGCTCTCCTCCTTTATATCATGGTCTAACAGTTACTTTGTTCACCAGAAACTGATTTTTTTCCGTTTTTTTATCGATCGGGTAAAACTTTTGGTAAAACTGCGGGATGTTATTATCGTTGTCTGGGCAACCACAATGTTTTCATCATGTGGCAATGTTTGGCAATCATGTAGCGTCACTGGCATGAAGCAGGACCCAGGCAGATCCGGCAGCTACACCAGAACAAATCATGGAAAAATCCTGGGGAAAAAAACTTCCAACCCTGTTAGCAAAGTAAGCTAGCTGTGGTGTTTGAGATGCGAAACGCTTTTAGAGAGAGACGACCTGGGCGATCAAAGCCTGTAACAATCCTAATTTCTGGAATATCAGAAAACTTCCCTATGTCTTATCGGTGGAGCGGCTGACACAGAGCAAGCAGCCGAGTGACGGCTAGCTGCCCGTCATTGAGGCTCACCTGTAGCGATGCGGCTTCTTGACTCCACCGGTGGAGGGCGCGCTCTTGCGGGCAGCCTTGGTGGCCAGCTGCTTACGAGGAGCTTTTCCTCCAGTGGACTTACGAGCCGTCTGCTTGGTACGAGCCATCAGGACAAATTATCACCTGAAAGCAAAAATAACAACAATAATTATAATGCAGAACTATTCGCAGAGTGAATAGATCCGTCCCAGCATAAAAGGTTAATGTCCAGTCAGCAGAATTTAAAACCTCCATACCTTTGGAACAAAGCTTGATGTCTCATCTGAACCACGGCTGCAATTAATGATAAATAATCGGAGCCAAAAGTTCCTTAAAGAAGATTTTTCACTAAATTAAACTGGAAGAAACTAAAACTTTTCCACTTGAGAAGTTCTGGATAGAGAATACTGATGGGAGAAAAAAGTTTTTTAATCTTAAATCCTTAAAAAACAATCCACTGGACTTGTTTTTTTTTTTGGAATGAGTTTGACTAAATTAGTTGATGAAGTGTATAAAATCTGAACTTTATTATAAATAGTCTTGAGGACCTTCCTGGAGGACATCTGAAAAGTCTTTACTTTTTTTTTTTTTTTGTGATATCACTTCTTTCCACACCGTAAAACAATGAAATCTCAACAAGTATTTTTTTCTTAAAATAAGTGCATTATTATCTTGAATTGAAGAGTTCAGTGAGAAACTTTGCCAATGGAACAAGACAATTTACATTTAAAATAAGAAAAAGTAATTGCATTGTCTTATTTCAAGTGAATATCTAATTTTCTTATTTGAAGCATAAAAACACTCATTCCATTTGCAAATCTTCTGATTTACCTACTAAAATGAAGGCTAAATACACTTATTTTAAGAATTTCTCACTTCTTTCTAGATCGTTTTTGCTGCATTTTGACCAAGATGTACCTTAGTGGGAGTTTTCTGGCAATAGAACAGTAAAAATAATTTCCAAAATTGTTTTCCCTACATTGTTTAACACCATTTGATCGAAACCAAGGAGGAGTCACCATTTTAACCTATAATTATATATTGGACTGCCTAGCTACAGCTCAGGTTTAAACCCACCGATCTCTATTCACTGGATTGTTGACTACCTGAAAAAAGTGAAGCCACCATCCGCCATGTTGGTCCTCCCCACTCCCACAGAGACACGCAGTAAAAATGCCTCTCTGTGTAGCATTTAGCTGCTAAAACCAGCAGTTTTCTGGCTGCAGGAAGATGTTCCACAGGTATGTTCATCCCAGTCAGTGGATATGGAACTAAGCAATAAATCCATCTATAGCCGATGGATCCTATATAGTATATGTATAGTCTGTAGACTAACTATTAGTCTGGCTATCTCAGACTGACTGGAAGACATTGACTGAGTGAGCCACTGACATTGGGTCTAATGTTAGAAAATAGAGGAAATAGAAATGTTAATGTAGTAATTCTTTATTAAGTGGATGATGCTGTCGCTGTTGTAGAGTTTGCTCTATTTCTCATTTGTCAGAGTTATGAGCTGAAATACATTGCATGTTATATTGACAAGGAAAAAAAAGCAACTCAAACATTTGACCCCCCCCCACACCACACACACACAGCCACCTACACACACACCCACACACACACACACACACACACACCCCCACACACACACACACACACACACACACATATATATATATATATATATATATATATATTTATTTATTATCATAATCACTTTTGGCTCCTCTGTTTTACTATGCTCCATTAACACATTAACTTTATTGTGATGGATTTTTATAATATGTTATATTACTTGATTTATAGACTTCATTGACTTCATAATGACTCTGCAATGTGATGGGCCTATTTTTTTAAATATTCGAATAATGATGTGATGAATTTATCTTTATTTTAAAAAGCTCAAGTCCCCCTGAATATGAGAACATCATCGTTGTTCGATGCTGTAGCGCACTGATTGTTTACAATACGACCCGTGAAACTAGGGAGTACCAATATGGCGGCCGGTGGCTTCCCTTCAACCCCGTACTACCAACGAGCAATCAGCAATCCAGGGAATAAATAGAGATCAGTGGTTAAACCACATCAAATGTTTTTCTTCCCTCGCTCAGTAAATAAACCAATCAAAAACTCTTAACCCAATCAGAATCTGAGAGAAGTAAAAAATATAAAAAATCCACCAATCCGGGTAGCTGGTGCTGGATTTGTCGACCAATAGCCTTTCATACAGCTCCTCCTAGCCCCGCCCTCTTAGCGCAACATTTTAGCCGCAGACGGAAGCCAAGCAGCCTACTGATATAGAGCCGAACAACAATACGGAAACACGGACGGTTTTCCAGATAAAAACAAAACATGGAGACATAAAACTACCGACAAACCACGGGAGACACATTAAGGGATCTGACCGCCGTTAGAGGCGAGCAGAGAGACGCCATATTCGAGAGGGAAGTCAGACAGAAGGCGCTGAAAGTAGAGCAGCTAGCTGCGCTGTGGAGCCGCGGAGCGGTTTTCCTCCCAGTCTGGGCACCGAGGCAGCTGCTTTCCCCTCACCTCAGCGTCGAAATCAGACATTATTTAAACTTACAGAAATATCCCCAGCCTCCCTAATCCAAACGCAGAATGATGAAGGACATCCTGATGTTTAAAAATTAGTGAAAATGTTCACTTACCGGCGCCGAGTTTTCAACTTTAGCTTCACAGCCTTTCGGTGTGTTGTGGTTCTGCGGCTATGTCCGATATTTACTATCTGTCTCTCACACAATGGAGGCAGAGCAAGCAGGAGCAAAATGGCGCCGGTGTCAATCATACAACTCCCACAATGCAATGCCAACATTTGGAAACACTAAAACCATTTTCCACTAAATCGCAAAGACGCGATGTTAAAACTGTTTCCATCAAAGTAATAATTTTTATCGTTTCAAAAAGGAAAATTTAAGGTGAACAATTTCTGGTTTATGATGGAGTATTAGGGCCAGGCAAGAGATTTATTTTCTTCTATTTTGAGAATAAAGTCTTAACATTATGAGAATAAAGTAGTAAACATATGAGAAAAAAAGTCAGAAAATTACGAGAATATCGTCTTAAAAATTCCGAGCATAAAGTTGTACAATTATGAGAATAAAGTCGTAAATTTACGGGAATGAAGTCGTAAGATTACGATAATAAACTCGTATTATTACGAGAAAAAAGTCACAACGAGAATAGTCATAAGATTACGAGAATATATGTTGTAATATTAAGAAAATAAAGTCCTAAAATTACGAGAAACAAGTTGTATTTTATGACAACTCTTACAAGAAGTCCTGTCTTCCCTAAAATGAGGAATGTGGAGCATCATGTGAACTTATACTTTGGTATCGGTTTGACAAATAAGGAAATCTTTTAGCAGCAGCATCAAACT